TTTTTAAAAAATATATATTTTATTGATTTTTTACAGAAAGGAAGGGAGAGGGATAGAGTTAGAAACATCGATCAGCTGCCTCCTGCACACCCCCCACCGGGGATGTGCCTGCAACCAAGGTACATGCCCCTGACCAGAATCGAGCCTGGGACCCTTCAGTCTGCAGGCCGACGCTCTATCCACTGAGCCAAACCGGTCAGGGCAGCAGCTGGGTTCTTGCCCATCCCATGATGACAGAGCAGACCCTGGTGGCCTCTGCGGTTATGGGTTTGTACATTCATTCATTCAGCATTCAGTCACTCCGCCGTGGGCACTGCCCCCTTCCTCCACCCTGGGACAGGATGCAGGAGATCAAGGTCAGATCAGGGCCAGGGAGGGCATTGCAGGAGAGACGACAGCTTGGACTGTGTGTGGCATTACGAGGGCTGCACGCCACCAGTGCGGACAGTGCAAGGTCCACAGACCAAAGAAAATGTCCCTCCCTCCCTGTGCCTGTGCCCCTCGCAAGAAAACAAAGGGCACTTCTCCAGCCCTGAAGGTCCAGGCTCCAGTCTCACCTTCCCCACAACAGGAGCCGGGGAGACCTGCCCTTTTCTCCAGGAGGGTGTGGCGCCCCCTGGAGGCAACCAGGGGAAGGGGGCCGGGCCTCCACGCCCCTTTAACAGAAGCCTTTCTGTTTGTTGTCTCTTCAGATATCTCTGGGGTGTTAGCTCTTACAACCTCTCTGCAGGGTAATACAGCGACATAGCCACAGTGACAGATGCACAGAGGGCCCTGGAAGCTCCTGGGTTCGTGAAAATGGGGACCGCACACATCAGCGGGAGTATCTCAACGGATTGGGATAATGCTCCAGAGAATGGCAGCTTCTCACCTATTTTTATACATTGTAATCAAAGGAGGGGACGTAGGCGGGTTACATGAAATCCATTAGAGATAGATGAGAAAGGTGGGAGAAAGCAAAGCGTGGAAAACTCTGGGATTGGACAAAAAGCAAAATGATAGACACATACTTAGGTGGGTGCAGGATAGTTAACAGTCAACAAGTAACATGATAGCAATAACAATGAAGGAATTTGTGGTCTCTGTCCTGGCACCCAGGCACATTAGGTTGTGCCCCAAGGGGTCCGGAAAAAGGGGAGTTACAAGTTACCAGACATTTCAAGGATATGTTATCATAGATGCAAAAAGACAGACAGAATCAGTTAAGGTAAAGGTTGACCTTTACTGGGTGGACCATCTGACACTCTTGTAGAGACAGGAAGGAAACTAGAACTCAGATGTTCACTGGGAGCCGTAGGGTAGAAGAAGGGGTCAGGGCAGAGTCCACAGAGGCCTTTTCTGGTTTATTTACATACCTGGTATGGTGGTCAAATGCCTCCTCGCCCTCATATCCTCTCTGGCTGGGATTGGTGTTTCTGTTCTCATGTCAAGTTCTGGGAGAGCAGGCAATCCAAGCAATAATAAAACAGTAATGATTATAAAGAGGAAAAAAAAAAGATTGATGGAGGCATTGAGGAGCTCCTACTATTCAACTTTGAGTCATTCAAATACCAAAACAACGTGGTTACAATAGATTTAATATATATATTAAATATGTTTCAGAGAGGAAGGGAGAGGAAGAGAGATAGAAACATCAATGATGAGAGAGAATCAATGATCAGCTGCCTCCTGCACGCCCCACACTGGGGATCCAGGCATGTGCCCTTATCTGGAATGGAATTGTGACGTCCTGGTTCATAGGTCGATGCTCAACTCTTAGGGGCACAAATAGAATGCTGGGGACTAATTATTATTTACAAGAAATAAAATAAGAAATATCAATCGTAATTTGCTAACTGCGATCGTTTTGTTTTAATTAAAGAAAGCACATTCTAACCTGGTTGGAAGTTGTATGCCCCCTGCCCCCTGCCACACACACACACCTGGGGGTCCACCTTGGACCTGGGAGTCAACTTTGGGATGCAGTCCATCCCCATTCAAGAACTGCCTATTATCATGGAAAGATTAACAACCTTGTTGCCTAATGGAGTCCCACACCAGGCCCCCCTCCCTCTTGGCTACTTCCCGATGCCTGTGATTCCTGCTTCCCCATGTAATCTTTGTCCTACTCCATATAAGCAGACAAAGAGAATCTTAAAAGCAGAAAGAGAAAAACAGTTAGTTACTTACAAGGGAGTACCCATATGACTGTCAGCTGATTTCTCAACAGAAACCATGCAGGCCAGAAGGGAGTGGCAAGAAATATTCAAAGTGATGAATAGCAAGAACCTACAAGCAAGATTACTCTACCCAGCAAAGCTGTCATGTAGAATTGAAGGTCAGATAAAGAGCTTCACAGACAAGAAAAAGCTAAAGGAGCTCATCACCACCAAACCAGGATTATATTAAATGCTGAAGGGTATTCTTTAAGAAGAGGAAGAAGAAAAAGGTAAAGATAAAAACTATGAACAACAAAGGGACTGAAAGGGCGAGGGCTAGGTTGCCCCAGGGTAGGGGCTACGTCCTACTCTGCTAGCCACACCCAGGCGGCAGAGCACAGTTCTTTCTCCTCCCCTTACTCCAACGCCCCCCCTATATAACCGGTCCTGAGACGGGGTTGGCGCGCTCAGCCACTTGGTTTGCTTTGGTGTCGGTGATCCTTGTGGATGGGGAGCCCAAGTTAACTTGAAATACAGATTCTTATGCTTTTGCATCGAATTGGCCCCCTGATGTGGTTTCTTGGGAATCTTGAAATCTGGGCACAACAGGGACAACAAATACATATCTGTCAAGAAGTGAATCTAGACCTGACTGGTTTGGCTCAGTGGATGGAGCGTCAGGCTGCGGACTCAAGGGTCCCAGGTTTGATTCCGGTCGGGGGCGTGTACCTTGGTTGCGGGCATATCCCAGTAGGGGGTGTGCAGGAGGC